AAATCGCATTAATTCTTAATTTTTTGTTCCAAAATCGGAAATAATGGTAATTGTTAGTATTTTTTTTTTACTATTTTCATAATTTTCCGGCAAAAGGCAAGAATCCAAAGCAAAGGTCAATAAAATGAAATGTAAACACCTGTAAAAACAACATAATTGGTTTATCAAAGCAACCATAGTTCTTGCAAATTTTCAAGAAAAGAAAAGGTAAACATAGTTCTTGCAAAACATCAATAGAAAAAAATGTTCCAAATTCGGATATTTTTTTATCGGAATTGGCGGAATTTAGAAATTTCGTTCCAATTTCCACCCCTATATGTAACTAGGGGTGACAGTCGGATGGATCGGATCGGATCGAGCATTTTTGGAAAATTTCCAAAAAAAATCGGAAGTACAAAATCAATTCCACTTCTAATTACAGAAATTTCGGAATCTAATTCATTCCAATTCCAAAAGGCTCGGAAATTTCGGAATTTCGAAAAAAAATCGAAAATCACATAACCTTTAAAATTTCAAAACTTAGCCGAATTTTTTTCTAAAATGTTCATAATTTTTCGAAAATAAGAACATCCACGTCGATAAAATTAAAATTAATAACTACTAAATTTCAATTCAAATAAATATATAAAAATAAACACAACATAATATCCTAAAACAATACTTATAGGTGATTTTTTTGGAAAAATAAGTATTATATAGTTATTATTTATAGGTGTATTTTTCGGAAAAAAAAAACGGAATTTTTCGGAATTAAATCGGATCGGAAATCGAAAATTCCAAATTCCAATTCCAATCCAAAAAAATCGGAAAAAATTGGAAATCGGAAATTTCGAAAATTGGAATGAAAAATGTTGTTCCAAAATCGGAGCTTTTCGGAACGGAACCGGAAGATATTGGAAATTCCGTTCCAACTTGCTCCCCTATATGTAACTGTTAGTTTTTTTTTTTTCTTTATTTATCACGTGAGTTTATAATCCTAATTCTTGGGTAATCTTATTTTGGCAACCAAACGAGTCCGTAGAGTATATACAAACGTACTTGATTTATCTTTTATCCTAAGGCTAATAGTTTATTCTATAACAGTTTTGTCTTTCCGACAACAGATTAAGGATCTGAATCATCGGAAAATAAAATATATAGTAAACAACGAAAAAAACAAATCCCTCTCGAATAAAACATCGTGATAATAACGTATTACAGAATAACTACTAGGATATAAGATAAATCAAGTATGTTTCTAGACATGGCCCTCGAGTAACCCTAATTGATGCTCCTCGACTATTTTCGCACGTTGGACGAAAAGGTGTTTAAAAACCTTTTTTCACCACTCAAATTAGCAGACCATTTGATGTGTATAGAGTTTGGTGAGCTTTCATTGTAAAGTCGTTCATTTCTATGGAAATTTTATATTTCTGAAACAACAAGAAGTAACTCGGGTCGACCGGAAAATATTACGTTATCATGGCTTATCTTACCTTTTAGGGAGCTTTTTTATTACACCTTCCACGGTCTAATAACACAATCGAGTTTCATCAGATTATTTAATCTTATTTTGGCAACCAAACGAACCTGTACTCATTAGAGTACATATATAAAGCAGAAAATGAATAGATAGTTCAGTGAAGCCAACAACATACTACGACTCAAGAATGAAAAGAATGCAATTTCATCGTTTCAGTTTGTTCATCCGAATATTACACAAGACTCGAGCACCCATATGATCATATCACCTAATTATTTACCACATTACCACAACTAACGAAAAAAAAAAAAAACGTGACTGCACGAACAAAGTAGCGACACACGCTTTAGACACGGACAGAAAAAGGACGACCAATCATCCCCTTTGTCCACGTAGCAGCTCGTTTCAAATCTTCATCGTCTGACTGAAGGCATTCACCTATTAACTCTGTACAAAACTTACAATCTTTCAACAACATTTCTACGTTCGAACCAAGTGCATCCGCAAGGTCGCCCAAAACTTCCACCGATGCCTTTGTTACACCCTTATCCCTGGAAAAATAAAATAAAACATAGTATTATACACATGACTAAATCTCGGAAATAAATTACATACATAAGAAAACAAAAAAAAAATGATGCATGAATTTGGTATTTGTTCCAATACACACCTCTGATTGTCTTTGGCAACCGATTCTATAAACCAAACGAGATGAGGAGCATAGGGTAACATTACTCGATCCATCTTGGAACTCTTCTTAAACCCCTGAAGAATACCCGAATACGCTTCGAAAATACTGCGCTTTAGCTGATTGCAGTAGCCTACCATCTCCTTGTCAGTGATGTTGTCCACCTCAGCACACACTCGTGAAGCACTTTCCATAATCGGCAAAGCACAAGTCACGTACTTATCAAAGTGTTCGCCAATTGCTAACGCAATGTCCCCAAAGCAGGAGAATACGAGAGGTATAATCGACCGGTGAAGTCCAGCGTTGGATATATCCCTGATGAGATGAATCATGATGACATCACAGTACGGCAAGAACTTGTCATCCAACGCGCGGCAGATGTCGCCCACAACTCCGACTGTGATGGCACAAACCTCGTACTCGTCGATATTCTGTAAGCCCGTCTCTATACACTTTATCAGCCCTTGCATGTACTTTTCGAACCCTAGCCCCATTGCATACACCAGTGCACCAATTGTCAGCATGGCTTCTTGGTCGGCAGTACAACTACCGCTACCAAACAAATTCAAGAAAACCAACACGATTCGGTCGGCTACCTGCCCAACTACGGGCCTAGTTTCGATAGCCGCGCTTAGTTTTTGAATTACGACCTGAAGCACACCAAACAGACAGGCTCGTAACTCTTCCAGAATTACCCTGTCGTCGAAAGATACAACTCGAAGAAATAAAGTTTGTTCCAACTTAGATACGAAAGCCGGGAGGAGCTCGGCAATAATACGAGACGTCTCCGAAAGGTTACAACACCTAACAACCATATTCAACGTTTCGTACGTGGAAAATCTGAGTTCATAACAGTTAACACCAGCCGTTCGTTCAGCCATTAAAATCAAACCGTTCAATAGATCCGAAACGTAAGGTGTGAGCAGCGACGAGTTCGGCTCAAATATCTCCAGGCATAGACGAACAATTGTATCCAAAGTAGCTTCCTTCAGATACACCGGTGTATCTACCAGGGTCATATTGGTAATTAACGATCCAACAAGTTCCGGCCATTCTTTTCCTGGAATCTCGATAGAAGCTATCTTAGCCACTACCTGAGAAGCTATATCACTAGCCTCGCTAATACAAGATCCAAGGGTGTGCAGAACAGAGCTTTTTATACGGGATTTCGTAGAAACGTCGATTGCAGCCCATTTAAAATCCAGTAAGTTCTTGAGGAGAACGCCGGCGATTTTACGAGACTCGGTAGATTTCGCGTCATTCGAGAGCTCAACGGATAACGACAGCAAAATTGCGGGTGGGTTTAGATCAACAAGCTGAGAGAAGAGAGTCATTGCATGGGTTCGAACTCCCGCATCTGGCGATTGAGCAGCCAGTAGGTACTCGGTAATCTCTAATGCCATTTTTTCTCTACACGGCAAAACAACATGCAGATACTGAACCCTGTTACGCGGTGGGATAAAGTTAGAAACGAATATACGAAAAAATCCAAATCTTGATTTCCCATCACATTAATCATGGAAATTCACGAACGAGATTATACAATACATCTCCTACAATCAACAATTTCCTTTTGAAATTAATAAATAATAGCAATATACAGAAACAAATTAAAAAGTCGTCGACAAAGTATCTTAATCACAAGAAACAAATAAACTAAACATCGAAAATCAAATGCACGAGTTAAAATCGAGTCGAAACGCTTGAACAAATCAACTGACATGGAAAGTAGATTTCGAAATTAAATATACATAAACAACTTAAAGGATCGTCAATAAACTATCATCTTAACCACAAGAAACAGGAATGAAATAAATAAATTAAATTTCGAAAATCAAAATGCAAACCGGATATCCTAAACCTAAAAGCCTTGTTATAATCAATATGAAACGCTTGAACAAATCAACTGACATGCAAAGTAGATTTACGAACATGAGATAGATATAAAATTTCTTGAATCAAAGAGCAACCTGAAAAGAGAAAACAGCCGATTTCCTGGGTTATTCCGCTTCACCCTTCCCCCTCTCTCTCTCTCTCTCTCTCTCTCTCTGAGAATCTCTGTCGCGATTAGGGTTTTGGATTACGGTTTATGGAATTGAGGGAATGTAGCGACTTCGCTTGTGAGGGAGGGAGGGAAGAGTCGGTTTAAATCGAGTAGAATCTGTATCAAATGGGTTTGGGGGTTTAATATTGTGTGTAAATAATAAATTGTAAATTTCACCTCCCCTGTACTTTAGCTTTGTATCACTTTACCACCCCCCCTCTATTTTCGATTGCATCTATTTGTCCCCCAAAACTCGAAAAATTGTCTCAATGTGGTATTCTGTTAGTTGTCAGACATTTGACCTTAACACCATCTGATCTAATCTTTGAAATTACAAAAACGTCACCTCTCCCAGTTTAAATAATTATTAAAAAATAATAATAATAAAACATTAAATAAAATAATTAAAATTTCAAGACAACGAGAAAACATAGTCCACGACGCCAATCACCATTTATTTTTTATTTATTTTTAATAATTATTTAAACTGGGAAGGGTGTTTTTTGTAATTTTCAGACTTATGTCAAACAATGTTAATGTCAAAGGTCTGAAAACTAACGGCGAGGGGCACAATTAAGACATTTTTTCAAGTATTGGTGGACAAATCGAATCGAAAATAGAATGGATCGGAGTAAGGGATATCGAGTCAAAGTACAAGGGGAACTGGAATTTACCGAATAATAAAGGGTATATTACGACAAACCCTGAGCTAAGGTCAAATTACAAAAATATCCTTCATGTTTGAGTAATTACAATCACCCCCTTAACTATGAATGTTTTTATACAAATTCACCCTTATGATGTCAAATTCAACATAATCTTCTAGATTGCGTGGGATGTTCTCTAGTTTGTACTTGTTTTGTGATAAAATGTAGTTTCTGATGTACCAAAATCTGATATTTACAAGCCAAAAGGCACATCTTATGATCATCTTGTTTCAAAATGTGGAGCTCGAATGTGATAAAACGGGTACAAATTGGAGAATATTCCATATAATCTAGAAGATTCCACTAAATTTAATTTGACAACGCAATGGTGGACATGTGAGAAGATTTATAATTTAGGGATGGTTGTAATTACTCAAACAAAATTGTTTTTTTTTTTCCGTAATTTAACCTTGCCTCAGATGGTGGCCATAATTTATTTGTTAATGCATAGATTGTTGCTTATTTAATTACTAAAAAAATTGGTGTGTTGGGTTCAAATAACACATTGAAGAACTTATCGGTTCTTATAGAATATAAAGTAATAGTTGACGATGTAGACTGAACGAGACGCATCATCATAATAATATCAGTAGCTTGAAAACTTTTAATTTCGATCGCATTAAACTCAAGATCGTGACAAATTAATTTCCGATAAGTCGAATATGCTAACTGGTTACACTCAAGGAATAAGAGTTAAAGTGATGAACCAGCCATATTCGGTTTGAAACGCTTGCCATCTTGCAGTCCGACGACTTGAAGCAGAGCGGAATACCACAAACTCTATTGCATATTTTCATCTTTTACTATACTTAACTTTATGTTTATACTAACAAGTTTGATACATGATAAGATATACTGTACGTGTGCGCGATAACTAAAGGCTTAATTCTAATTTGCACCCTGAAATGTAGTTTTAAATAAAAAAAAACCCTTATTTTAATGGTGTTGTGCCAATTAAGAAAAAAAAGGAATTACTAAGCCATTTTCTTAAATAAAAACAACTTCAGCCAATATTTTCACAAACTATAGAAGCAATATGCCGATTAATTTAGTTCATGAGTACTAAAATGTGTATTTTATTTAGGGCTAATTTGATTTATCTCCCCTGTACTATTGGGAAACCTTCACTTACATCCCTTGTACTATCAAAACCTTCACTCACCCCCTTGAATTTTATCTTGTACCTATTATACCCTTCCTTAAACTAAATATCTCCATCTTTATTTCGAATAATAATTTTCTACAACTTCCATTATTATACATAAGCATTTAATTGTTATTATTATTTTTTAATTTCAATTTATATTTATTTTCGTCCAATTTTATACAATTTTCTTTATATCATTAAAAGTAAAGTATATGAAGAAACCACAATACCATAAAATTATTTTCTTTATTTTAAAGTGGAACATATAAATTAAATTTAAATTTCCATCAAATTAATTTATATTATTTTTTAGGGTTAATCTCAAAAAGGGCAATGACAAGGGCACTTAATTAAAAAAAGGGAGATCCAAATTTTTTGTCTTTCAAATATTTTCAGCTCATTCAAACTTATTTGCAAATAAGGAAAATCTTTTTATATATACCAAAATTACCCAGAATTCCTTGAAACCCAATTCAACTCCAATTTCATGATTTACACCCAAATTTCACCAATTAACCAATTTTGACCCTAATTCCAATTTTGACCCGCCATCACCGGAGACCGCCGGTCTCCAGCGTTCACTTTTTTTTTAACTTTTTTTTTCTAAATTTTTTTCCGTTAGGTCAACCGCCATTAACCGCCGGGTCTCCGCCATTGACTTTTATTTATTTATTTATTTTAATTTTTTTTCTTAATTTTTTTTAATTAATATTATTGTCTTGGCTGCTAAATTATTGTCTCTAGCAGCTATTTAACTGTAGGATACAGTAATTTAACTGTTAATTGAACCTTTTTTTTCTTTAAAAAATATTTTAATTAATATTACTGTCTTGGCTGCTGAATTACTGTCTCCAGCAGTTATTTAACTGCCGGAGACAGTAATGTAACTGTTAATGACTTTTTTTAATTAATATTATTATTTTGGCTGCTAAATTACTGTCTCCAATAGTTATTTTACTGTCGGAGACATATAATTTAACTGTCAATTAACTTTTTTTTTAATTTATTTTCTTAAAAAAAATATTTTAATTAATATTAATGTCTGGGCTGCTAAATTACTGTCTCCAACAGTAGTTTAACTGTATGAGACAATAATATTACTCTATTAATTAATTTTATCTTTAGCCTGCATTTTTGATATCTTCGACGTTAATATTACTGTGTTGTCATAAACGAAGAGTTTGCAAACTTCGATGTACATTGCGGTAGAAACATTCCATATCGGAATAGTCTCTATTTCCCGGCTGGTGTCAAGATGAAGACGATTAAAGCTTAGCAGTGCAGTTTGATATTTACCAGAGCTTTTTCTTGGATAAGTATTTATGCATTTCTTTTTTTTATTTTTATTTTTTGGCCAAAAATAATTTTTTTTTATGTACGTCATTGGAATAATTGGCACTGTTTTTCTATAAGTAGGAGTTGATGATTAGCATTTTTCAAATTAGTGAATGTGATTTTCTTGAAAATTTATAAGACTATTTTTCATTTTCTTAGGAAATATATTATTAAGAAATCAAATACAGCAACTGTATGTGTTTAGATGGCCGATGTTCCATGCCCGAGGCCGTAACGCCTTGCCTGTCATATTTGCGAGCTCATTCCTCATGCCAAGCATTTGGTGACTTTCCCAACAATTAGCTTCCATTAATTCTGCCAATAAATTTGAGAGCATCATCTTGTTTCAATACCAAAATCTCCGACTCGGGATCCGCCTTTTTTTTACTCCTTTGTCATACGTTGCTTTGATACGGTTCTTGCTTCTTTCCATTTTGAAATAAGCTTGCTCACGACGATCATAGAGCTCATTTGTTTCTTTGTTAAAAGTATTGATGCTCTGTTGGATTGGTTTTTTCATATGAAAAAGTCTACAGAAAAAACACAATAATGTATTATATTTCTCATTTTACAAAAAGTTTCATTAAGCTTTTCATTTTATAAAATAATTATTTTTTAAATTAAAACAAGAACTTTTGATTTGATTGGTGTAATTTAGTATTTTCTAGTTTTCTATTCAAGGGGGTTATGTGCTAATTTCATACCATAAGGGGTCATGTGCAAAATTGCAAAACCACAAGGGGGTTATGTGCCTAATTTCATACCATAAGGGGTCATGTGCAAAATTGCAAAACCACAAGGGGGTTATGTGCCTAATTTCATACCATAAGGGGTCATGTGCAAAATTGCAAAACCACAAGGGGGTTATGTGCCTAATTTCATACCATAAGGGAGTCATGTGCAAAATGTCAAAACCACAAGGGGGTTATGTGCCTAAATTCATACCATAAGGGGGTCATGTGCAGAATGTCCAAACCACAAGGGGGTTAAGTGCTATTTACCCTTTAAGATATTGTAAGATTTGTATCAATTAACATCACATCCTTTCAATTCGTAAACATTATTTAAATATTTGAATTGATTACGCTTAACTATTGATAATAACGTATTTCATGCAGGTCAAAGCCCGCAACGGAAAAGAAATAGAATACGATAGATGACCGGGAATCACTCAACCGGCGGCAGTAGACTCACTCGACGCTACTAATCGCGGTCAACGCAGCCAAGTCATTCTCAATGAAATTAACTTGCAAAATCATTTCCTACTCAGTACCTACTGGAAATTAAAGTTCAAAACGCAACATAAGCTGACATTTTGGAAAATTACAGATTAGTCCCTAAAGTCTTTAGATTTATACATGCAAACCACTAGAGAGTAAAAGTTCCATTTTTCTTGTAAAAATATTTATAAATTCGAAATGTTCAAAGTGTTAATGGCAAAGAGGCCCATGAAAAAGACACTTAATTAAAAAAAAAAGGAACATCCAACTTTTTATCTTTCAAATAGTTTCAGCTCATTCAAACTTATTTGCAAATAAGGAAAACCATTTTATATATACCAAAATTATTCCATATTCCTTGAAACCCAATTCAGCTCAATTTTATGATTCACACCCCAATTTAGCCCAATTTCACCAATTAACCAACCACCGAAAACCGCCGTTCAGCCGCCGTTGACTTTTTTTCTTGAAAACTTTTTTCGCATTTTTATGAATTTGTTTAGGCAGGTCAACCGCCGGTCTCTGGTGTAAACTTTTTTTTCTTAAAAAATTATTTTATTTAATATTACTGTCTTGACTACTAAATTACTGTCTCCAACAATAATTTAATTGTTGGAGACGGTAATTTAACTGTTACTTGATTTTTTTTTTCTTAAAAAGATTTTTTTTAATTAATATTACTGTCTTCGACAGTAAAATTACTATTGGAGACAGTAATTTAGCAGCCAAGATAGTAATTTTAATTAAAATATTTTTTTTAAGAAAATACAATTCCAAACAAAGAAAATCAAAAAGAAAAAGTCAACGCCGGAGATCGACGGTCAACGGTGGTTGACCGACCGGAAAAAAAATTCAGGAAAAAAAAATTCAAAAAAAAAAAAATCAACGCCGGAATCTGGCCGGGAAAAACATTTGAAATTATTTTCCGAAAAAAAATATTTTTTCAAAAAATTATTAAAATTGGGGTTAATGTGATATATTTGTTTAAATCCGGAGTTAATATGTAATATTGAGAAAGTTAGAGTATAATAGATGAAATTGATAAAAAAAAATATATTATGGAGGGTATTTTAGACAAAAGACATGGAAATGAGTTTATTTGATTGACTTTTTTTTGTCTGGACCAATTTATGACCACAAAATCTAATTTTGACTTTTTTTTTTAAAAACTTTTTCTTTTTCAAAAATTATATTTTTGCCGCCGGTCTCCACCGTTGAGTTTTCGATTTTTTTTTTGTTTTGTTTTTTTCCTTTTTTTTTTCTTGTCTGTTTTTTCAGCCGCCTCCGATTTCCGACGTTGACCGCCCTTCTCCGGCGTTGTCTTTTTTTAGTGATTTTTTTTTGTCATAAAATTTTTATCCATTTTTTACGCCCGCCGCTAAACATTGACCGTAGTTGTAGTGTCATTAACAATAATTATACTGTCACTAACAGTACATTAACGTAATTATACTTTCGTTGACAATACATTAACGTAATTGTACTTTCTTTGACAGTGCATTAACGTAATTGTACTGTCGTTGACAGTACATTTATGTAATTGTACTTTCGTTGACAATTCAATTAAGTCAACGACAATATTATTATTTTTTTTAGGTTTTTTTTTTTTTAATTTTGTTTGATTTGTTGACAAGTCAACGTAATTATATTACTGTTTGACAGTAAAATAACTGTAAACACAATAATATTACTATCGACCACATCAATATTATTATTTATTTTGGGGTTTTTTTTTTAGTTGACGGAAAACGTAATAATATTACTGTCTACTATTGTAATATTATTGTAGTTGACTGTAATATTACTGTTGCTACAGTATTATTATTGTCAACCACAATAATATTAATTTTCTTGGTTTTATATTATGTTTACGTTTGTTGAACGGTCAACATATTAATATTACTCTATTACTAATAATGACTTTTGTTGTGTTAATATTACTATGCTAGAGATTAATATACCAATATTACTGTGTTAAACTGTAGTATAGTTAATTTTACTATGTTTAACAGTAATATAGTTAATATTACTGTCAACCACAACAATATTGTTGTTTATGGGGGATATGTTAAAGAAAAAAAATATTTAAAAAAAAATAAAAATCCGAAAACGTCAACGCCGGAAACCGGCGGCAAAAAAATCAAGACGAGGAAAAGAAAAAAAAAGTCAACGGCGAAATTGTATTCAAATTGTGTTTTTGGTTAAAATTGAATAATTTGTGAAATATGGGATCAAATTGTGGTTAAATTAAATTAAAGTATGAAATTTGAGCATATTAAAATGTGAGGGGATATTTTAGTGTTCTACAAACCTTTGAAGAATGTGTGGATTTTTTTGTAAAATAGTTTTCTGTCAGGACTCTTTATGAATAAATACTAATTAATGGGCTTATTTGTAAAGTACTCAATTTATATTAATTTTTTAAGTGGAGATACGATAACAATTGCGAAGACTTTGTTGCAGAATCAAACCCTAACCATATTTCTTCCGCTCACGAATCTCCGTATAGTAACAACCCGTCGGAAAAAAAAATACATGGCAAGAAAATTAGTGAAAACATCATCAACAAATATCCCACCGGAGATAATCGAAATTATACTGTCAAAATTATCATCAGTTAAATCTCTTCTTCGATTCAAATCAGTTTCAAAGTCATGGAATACTATAATCTCCGATCCCTTATTCATTCAAAATCATCTCCATTCCTCGAATAAATCTCCGAATAATGATCTCTTCCTTAGAAGGTATACAAATAGTACTGATAGAGGGTTTCCTCTGGTCAAACTCGAAGGTGGGAAAGTCCACGCCGGAGGAATATCCGTAGAGAATATTCCCAATGGCTACAACGTAATATTATGTGAATGTAACGGCTTGCTACTCTTGACCGATCGGTGCAGCGAAAAAAAATACGCGCTGTGGAATCCATCAACTCGTAGGGCGAGGCATCTCGCAACCCGATATGAGTTAAATGGAGATTATGTAGTTGATCATGGGATTTGTTACGACAAAATAACCGGTGATTTCAAGGTTGTCTTTATCTTCGCAACGAAATATGCAATTTATTCGTGTAATAACTACTCTTGGACGAAAAAGGATTTAGGAACAAAATGCCGTAACATTGGTTTTACAGGTTCAGGTATCTTCGTCGATGGAGCTACCTATTGGATTTTGGGCGTCGAGAGCACGAATATTTCAGGTACACTATTAGTGTATTTCGATTCAAGAACCGACAAGCTCAAGGTTTTGCGAATGCCCGAACAACTATATGATGATAAAATATATTTTTTAAGTTGTAACATGGCTTCTTTGAGAGGAAGCCTCTGTTTGTACAGCTACAACTACCGTGATAATAGTGTCCATATCTGGATAAAGGAAAAGGGCATTGATTTCGGGGATAATCGTACTAACTGGAAGGAGTTTGTAACCGTTGGATATCTTCGGCTTCGGTATTTGTGGATGACACCACTATGTTTCGTGGAAAATAAGGTTGTCATTCAAGAAAAGAGTATAAGATTCGTCTCTACTGAGAAGACGGTCGAAGAGTTTTTAGCGGTTGATGTATATCGGGGTAGATTCATTCCATATCGGGATAGTCTCTATTTCCCGGCTGGTGTGAAGACGATTAGAGCTTAGCAGTCCAGTTTGATATTTACATTGGATAAATATTTATGCATTTAGAAAAGACATTGTTTCTTTTTTTTTTTTTTTTTTTTTTTTGCCAAAAAATAAAATTTTATATCATTGGAATAATACTGCACTGTTTTTCTATTAGTAGGAGTTAATTGTTAGCATTTTTCAATAGTATATTTCGTTTCTGCTTGGCTTTCGTTTTATGGTGTTAATTAGTATCATTCTAGGTTAGTGAATGTGATTTTCTTGGAATTCTACTGCTGCAATCTTGACGATTTGATCGCAAAGTTCGGTGGCTGAGGTACGGAAAAAATTCGTTCTCTTTAAGACGAATTGCATGAACCCTTTTGACTGTGTTTAATTTACCCATCTGTTCTGCAAGGGATGGCCTGGTGGTTATATCAATTGAGTCTATGTTAATTGACCCAAGTGCGAATCCCCTTGCGAAGGGTTGTTAGGTGGAGCTAGTCACACATGACTAGCCTAGTGAGGTTTACGTTTCTTGTATGGTTTTGCAAGCTATTATACCAAAGTGAAGCCCCAAAGAAGACTTGGCTATATATGATAGATATCATACTGATGTGGTTGACAGTTGACACTAATATTATTGTGTTTAAATTAATTTTACCGTCAGTGACAGAAATATTATTACGTTGACCGGTCAACAAATCAAACAAAATACAAAGACTAGAAAAATAATAATATTGTATAACAGTCAACGATAGTACAATTACTACCAATGACAGTACAACTACGGTCAATGTTCAGCGACGGACGTAAAAAAACTGATATAATTTTAGGAAAACAAAAAGTCAACGCCGGAGACCGCGCTGACCGTCGATCAACTCCGGAAACCAGCGGCGTATAAAATAGAAAAATAAATAAATAAATTCAACGCCGGAAACCAGTTGCGGAAAAAGAAAGATAGAAAAGAAAAAAAAAAAAGAAAAAAGCTGGAAACCGGCGGCAAACAAACAAAGAAAAGTTTAGAGAAAGAAAATGTCAAAATTGGATTTTTGTGATCAAAATCAATGAAAATGAAGTTAAATTGGGGTTACAATTAGGAATTGAGTTTAAAAGGTTGGGTGTAATTTTGTCATATACATTAATTTTGCATTTATTGATAATACATATTAAAGTGATGGGTTTATTGGCGAGAAAGATAGAGATATAACCCTTGAACCTAAAATAATAAATAGGGTTGATCAGGGACTTATGCATAAAAATCCTTTTTTAATATATTTTTTTTTTTTTGCCAAAAGAATTTATTATTCATATATTAGTTCTCGTTAAAACGTTGTGGGCCTACACATGTAAAAGAGTACCCCTACAATTGTATTAAAAAATCAGAACGAGACTTATCTAGGTAAATGCTGAAAACGAAAAATGTTGTTTTGACCCCAGGAGGTTAAACTGCAAATAAACGATCTTGGTGTTGTCCTCCAAAGTGCAAGCCTGAAAAGTGGAAAATTGCTAAAGAAGCTCAGAATGGGGGTCAAACTGCAAATACTCTGAAGTTGTGGCCAGGTCAGCGAAATCCCCTGGAATAGTGCATAAATGCAATGCAAAGATATTTGCCGTATACGATCAACATGAACAATGAACAATATATGTTTCTAAAGAGATGCTATTTGCAATTGCTGAAAATAAATGAAATATTAAGACACAGAAAAAAGAGAGAACTGGCATTTGAGACATCATATATTTTATACCTGATAAAAATTCAGCTGTTTATTATTTTAGGATTGCTGTATGTTTTTCCTTGGTCTGATATTATATATAAAGCTACTTTTCAATGGACAGAGCCAAGTCTTCTTTGGGGCATCTATGAGTTTGTCCAACCAATTTAGTTTTGCATTCAATATCTTTTTTTCGGATTGTAATGTACATTATATGCAAATTTTCTCAAGCTTTCTGAGATTAATTTAGAGTTAAAAATGAAATAATGTTAAATTTTGAAATTTTTTTACCCTCATTTAGATAGTTAAATAATAACTCACTCATAAAAAAAAAAAAAAAATCAATGATAACTAACAGGTACACGTTTTGAGGGATAACTACATTTTTCGTCCCTATACTTTGCTACTTAGTCAACTTTCATCCCTGTCCGGTGAGTTGTTTCAAACTTATGGACTTTTTCACCGATGAGTTCGGACAATATATGGTAAAAATTTGGTGCGATAGTTCTCATGGGAAGGGGATCCGGTGGACAATTTGGCGTGAAATGAGCCGGAGCAAGCATAGTGATGGTCTTGGATTAAGTGATTGGAAGCATTTAACAAACTTCCCGTTAGGTAGCTTAATACAAGAGGACCAACGACAAAAGATCGTCACAAAAAAAGTCTTTTTTTTGTAGTGGACACGAATGTTCTAAATAACGGAGGTTGGAGATGGTTATTGTCATTAAAGGCACCGAGTAAGATTAAAATATTCCTCTGGAGAGAGTATGTAAAAATTTATTACCCACAAGCTAGCACAACCGAGTATGTAAGATAGGTGCATTTTTTGTGACCTTTGTTAGTTGGCACGACAAGTCTGGGCATCGAGTGATATCCCCCAGTCAATATATCAAACACAAAATCTGCACGAGATCGACATGCTTTAAATAATCAATTAAACCACAAATCAATGTGTAACAAATCATGGCTTTTATATGCTTTAGTTTTATCACCAATGAAACAAAGAACGGACAATTATTTGTTATAGTTTTTGTATATGCACAAATTTCATATGATCAACTATATGTGTTTATTTAATAAAAAATATTTTATAAAAACTAGCAATAAATAATATGTGAAATAGAAGAAACAAGATGAAAACATCAAATATAATTAAAATAGAGAATTCGACTGCGTTGAGGTTCCATACCTATGTAACAAAAAAAAAAAAAAAAAGAACCAGACATAATATCTTGTCTACATGCATAAATACTTATTTCCCACGTGAAACAAATGCTCAGGTGATATAAACCTGGACTGCTGATCTGTAATCGTCGTCATCTTGACACCAGTTGGGAAATAGAGACTATTCCGATATGGAATGAATCCATTGCAGTTTACGTCAATATCTGCAAACTCTTGAAACGTCTTCTCAGTAGGGCTATAGTAGACAAATTTCTTACGCTCTACTTGAATGACAACCTTATTTCCCACGAAACATATTGGCGTAATCCACAAAAACGGAACCCGGAAATTTCCAACCGTCATAAACTCCTTCCAGTTAGTACTATTCTCCCCGACATCAATGCCCTTTTCCTTTATCCAGATTTGGATACTGTTCTCATTGTAGTTATAGTGGTACAAACATAGTCTTCCTCCCAAAGAAGCCTTGTTAATTAAATGAAATTTGTCATCACATAATTGTTCGGGCTTTTTCAAAATCTTGAGCTCATCGGTTCTTGGATCGAAATACAATAATTGTGTACCTGAAATATTCCTGCTCTCGACTCCAAAAATCCAATAGGTAGCTCCGTCAACGAATATAGCCGCACCTGGAGTACCAAGAATGGAATAGAATTTTGTTCCTAAATACTTTTCGGTCCAAGAATTGTTATTACACGAATAAATTGCATATTTCGTTGCGTAAACAATGACAACCTTGAAATCGCCCGTTATTTGGTCGTAACAAATCCCACAATCCACTTCATGATCTTCATTAAACTCACATCGGTTTATGACAAACATCTGAGAGCGAGTTGATGGATTCCACAGTGCGTATGTATCGTATTCATTAAACTCCCCGTGTATGCTGGTCAAGAGTAGCACGCCGTTACATTCGCATAATATTCTGTCGTAACCATTGGGAATACTCTCGACGGATATTTCTCCGGAGTGGATATTTCCAACTTCGAATTCAACCAAAGTAAACCCTCTATCTGTACCATATGTATCCGTACTTAGGAAGAGATTATCCGGAGAGTTATCCGAGGATTGGAGATGATTTTGAATGAATAAAGGATTGGAGATTAAAGTATTCCATGACTTTGAAACTGATTTGAATCGAAGAAGAGATTTCGATGATAATTTTGACAGTATAATTTCGATGATCTCCGGCGGAATATTTGCCATGTCTGTTCTTTTTTGCAACCGTATTTGGTTCTTCTTAGGGTTTACTTTTACTGAGCTTTTTGAGCGGAGAGGGATTTATAACGTAACAACTAACAAGTCTTTTGTCTTTCTTTATGGCCCAGCCCGACATGCAATATATTTAATTGGACACTTTACAAATAAGCCCATCGATGGGTACTTGTTCATAAAGAGGTCCAGACAATAAACTATTTTACAAAAAATTCTACACAAGGTCCAGAAGTTTGTAAAATACTAAAATAGCTCATTATACTTTAATATGCTCCAATTTCATAATTTAATTTAATATAACCTCAATTTGACCCCAAATTTCACAAATTATTCAATTTTGACCCAAAATACATTTTTATGATTTCGTCCGTCACCGCCGGTCAACCGCCAGTCTCCGGTTGACATTTTCTTTTCTTTTCCTTAACATTTTTTTGCGCCCCGTTTAAACCGCTGTGATTGACAATAATATTAACTATATTACTGTTAAACACAGTAAAATTAACTATGCTACAGTTTAACACGGTAATATTGCTACCCGAAACTGACTTTTAGACAATTTTAGACACGGCCATGGGTCGGGTGGGGTCGAGTCCGACTTTTAGGGGACCCGAAACCGACCCGTTGGGAGGCAGGTCCGGGTCCGAGGTGGGTCCATCATGGTCTGGGTCCAAACCGATTTTTTTAATTTTTTTAATGAATTATAATAAAGAAAAAAGATGTAAATTGAAACTTAAAAAAACTTGAGCTTAACTTTAAATTCAATTAAAAAAATATATATATTTGAACACTAAACAATTTTTAACTTCAAATTATTATTGAAGAATCATTCACGTTTAAATTGAAGCATTTTTTACACGCATTGCGCGTGTGTCGTCCAATGATTAGTTCAATAACAATATATATAAACGTGTGTTCGGTCGACGGTGG